TCTGACAAGTTTGAGATTAAAACGGGAACACTGGAGGAGGAATCACTCACTCACTGTTAAAAAATAAGGAAACAGCTTTCTGATCAACATAAGAAAAAGATATTTAAAAAAAAGATACCACAGCACCTGAACCCAAACAGTACATTCAGGTTAATTCAAAACAGTACAACCAGCAATGAGGTTAAGTGAACAGAAAGGCTGGAGCAAAGAGGCGAGGGGGGGGGGGGGGCGTAAGCTGACCAAACTCCCCCACCACATCCTCCGGGTTGCCAGCAGAGGGGGGCGAGGAGGAAGACAGGGCAAGCATGCAGCACACCGCAACTCTGAGAGGCCCCCAACCTCGAGCTGTTGCAAAAAGAAAAAGGGGGGGGCGCTCAAAGCAGCCGAGGGAGAGCTTGAGCTGCCTGAGGAGGGAAGGGGCCGTGGAGGTGAAGGAGGGGGTGTGTGGTCAGAGAGAGGAACAGACACCAGTGACAACACAAGAATTTGTAGGATCAGTGATGACAAATGACCCACCATCCATCTCTTTTCCCTCCAGTTGGTCCTGGATATGTGGGGTTGTGGGGAGGGGAGGGGAGGGGGGGTAGTGGATGTGGAGAAAATGGGTCATTACAACACACAAGACCTTTTAAAATAAGACAAACAAACACGAACCAGAAGCACATGACATACAGATAGATGTTTAGCACCTTCGCTTCTTCCTTTGTCAGGTGGGTGGAAACCTGCAGATATGGAGCTGATTTTAGTGGGAGGGGTGAACATGAGGTTTTTAAAGCCCCAGATGTAGGCGGATGAGCTGAGGATGAGTCTCTTTTTAGCCACGGTGACTGAGGAGTTCATGACTCACAACACATACACACTGCCCGTATGAAGGTGTTTGACAGCTGGCCTTTAGTTCGTAGGCTCCTGCGGTTCTCCGTCCTGTCTCTGACCACACCCTCTGCCACGTGTGTGCGTGTGTGTGCAATGGGGTCAAAGGTAAGGAAAAAGAGAAGGGGGTGGGGGGGGTGGCGTTCAGAGCGAGGAAGCCAACAGCCGTTCATGACCGCGCGCGTTGCAAGCGGAGTTAGTTACATTAAGAAGCAAAGCTAAAAACAACAAAAAGCAAATTGTATACTGTGGTTGTGATTGCTGTATGGGTGTTAAGAATGGAAAAAGGTTATGAGCGCTAAAATTTAGATGGATTTCTCTTATCGTCGCTTCACATCGCAGAGCTCTGCAGAGGAAGCGCAACACTGCCGATAAGTTTTTTATATTTTTAATAATGGTTTGGAAAATTGAGATGCGTTCTAATCGGCCGTCTCTCTCTTTTAGATTCAGGTCGTCTTTCACTTTCTCTCTCTGACTCTGTGAGCGTGTGAGGAACGTGGTGGTTTTCTCCGAGGCTGCTTGCCCTGCCATTCCTCAGCCAGCCTCGCACTTTTAGGAATCTGCAATTCAAAAAAGGAAATACGAACAAACAAAAACAAAAAAATGACAAAAAGAAAAGTTAGATAGCTTTAAAGGAAAATTGAGTCAAAGACTGCAACCCAAATATTCAGATATGGAGAGGAGGAAGAGAGAACTGATTGCATATATGAACCTACTTGTGGTGTCAGCATGAATGTCATCTGCACATACTGTATGTGTGAAATGCCTCCATTAACCCAAAGATGTGTCTGTTTAACTAAGAGCCTTTTAGCTTGTTCCACTACAGTTTTCATCTGGCTTGAATGCGTGTCATAATGCAGCCACTATACTCTGTCACATCATGCTGAATTCCTGCCATGACAGGGACAAAAATCCCACAAATGCTGCCTCATGCACCACATTTCAAATGCTCTTCAATAACAATTACAGGAGGCATGAAATGTGTATTTATAGTGCCGATGTAAAATGAAATCCTGCACACAAGAACCCCATGCTGTGCCAGTAACAGTCCATCAAAGCTGATTAAAAAGTGTGACGGGAAGTTAAACCAAAGCTTGTGTAATGAATTACGAAAGAGATGATTTCTGAGTCAGTGCCAATCTTGGAAAGTAGAACAGAATGTCTAATTGTAGCAGCGGAGTGAAAACATGACACAGAGGCGATGCACACCATGCCTTTACAGTTAAAATGCACCGTTCACAGAGGTGCTGCTCAGAGACCCATGCAAGAAATCACAAAGCTTTAAAGTCACGTCCAGCTCCATATCTCAGCCCAGTCTCACCATATAGCTTAGTACAGCTAATTCTCAGTCCTTTATTCCTTTACCACTGGCCTGGAAAAAAGGACCAGAACAGCCCAACACTATCATTATCAAAATGTGGATCAAAAAAAGAAAGGAAAACACATTTTAAAGGGGGCTATAGTTACTAATTTAATCAATAATTTTACAAAATTACCCCTAACCGGAGGAGAATAATTACTTTCACAACGTTTTCATGTTGTAACAGCACTATGATTAATCTACAGCATGCAACATTAGAGGGGTGATTTTTATTTTCATTTTTTTTTCTGGCTACAAAAATATCTTTTAATTTGTATTCATATTTTACAGCAGATTTAAATTACATTTGCATGATTGCACATGGAGCATGCTTTCCTTTGGGGAACAACAACAATTGACCAAAACACAGTAACTTGCGTGATGATTCAATTTTCACTTGATGTTCATTGTCACTTCAGATGGTGCGTACATTCACTAAGCTGAGTTTAGTGGTTTATTACAATACTGACTCAAATATTTGACCAAAGTTGTGGATCAGACTCTTGATTAAAAGCATGTTCAATTGAGTGGAATACAGTCTTAAATCTTAACAAAAAATATATATTAAAAAAAAATCAAGTACGAGTGTGTTTGAAATGTACATGTGATCATTGTCAGTGGGTGATTCGTCCCATCCAGTTATATAGTCATATTTTATTTTGTATGACCACTAGGTGGCACTGCAGTGAATGGTAGGTGAAAAACTACAAGCTTCTTTCCACACACACACACAACATCCGCCTGGCTCAGCTTGCATTCAGTGTCATTTCCTAAACAAATGTTTTGTGCAGAGCTCAAGAACAGTGTAGTGACACACACTCACGCAATCTGCCACAACTGTCCCAAATGTCACTAGGCACACGGGTCAAATCTGACTGGTCCTTCCCTCGGAGAGAGACAGGAAGTGTGTGTGGGTGTGTATGTGTGTGTGAGGAGGGTTATTCTCTGATCTGAGCTACCAGAAACAATCTTTTATCTCCGTAACTTGCCCCACTCATATAGCAGTGAACGGAAACTTACTGACTCACATTAACAAAAACACACTTTTGTGAGTTAAATGTATGTCATAGCACCTTTGGCATTTGTTTCCAAAAAGACCTCAACGTAGGACGTGGGGACGTATCCCTCCTCGTCCTCGTTCCTGCGCACTCGTGTCCAGCCGTCTCCTTTGTCTTCTTCTATGACGTACAACAGCTCGCCCTCTGCCACGGCGATTGTGCCCTCGTTGTGACCTGTGGGAAAGAGGAATAAGAGAAAAAAGTTAAGCGCATGAATACAACAACCACCTTGTGCTAACTTCATCAAGATAAAAGCTTAATTTGTATATCATGTTTCCTGGAAAGAAAGAGGAACCAGCTGATGTGCAGTAGGAAAATGCAATTATAATCATAATAAGTATAAAGGAAGTAAAAGAAATATGAAAAAATACCAGTATTGTTTGGATATCAATGAAGCATAACATCAGCAGAACTGGCCTGCAGTCCAGTTTTATGGAAAGAAGTCGCAACTTTTTTAACACCAGTCTTGGGCTAAACTATCACACATTCACAATCAGTCTCACTATTTAATGACACTTCATTTAATCTGTCCAGCAACGAAAAACATATATTATGTATTGGTACAACGCCAACAGAGAATGGCTGTCTCAATTTTCGAAAGACAAAATTGGGTATAAGCATTCTGGATAGTTAAAATTTTTAATTAGTAATGTTAGGACTGCATAGTTCTACATGGTAATACACTGGATCCCCCCAACGGGATCCCAAGATACAGAAAAGTGTTGTTTTTTTCTTTTCAGCCTCTAGATTGGTTCCTGTTTGGTATTTTAATTTATAATTATGATGTCCGTATCTTCTCATAGAGAGGAAGGAATGTCCCGTTTTAACTCAGAGGACTGATCCAGTTCAACACTTACAGTCAGGGCTCCACCTCTGATTTACACCCAGGGCTGTAGTTAACAGCCTTTGAGAATTTGCTGAATCTGCATTTTAAAATAGTGTCCCAGAGAAATGACTATATTTCTATCCACACTCCTCCACACATTTTTCTCAGAAACTCTACCTCAGAAGAATCAAAAAGAAAAGGTCCCTATGTCTAGAAATAACAGGATCTTACCTAAAGGTCACATGTACTTTGAAATATTTAAAATACCCTGTCTTCATTTGTTCTTGATGATTGTGGTTGTAGTTACCTTCAAATGGGTACAAGGCTTTGCAGGTGCCGATGGTGGGTAGGGTCTCCTCATCATCAAACTCATCGTCAAACTCTGGCGTGGTGGAGGTTGGGTTGGAGGTGGGGATGGGGTTGATGTTGGCTTTGACCTGAGTCTCTGAATTCTGTTCCTCCGTGTAGCTGCCATCCGGGCTGCTCAAGGGCCAACACACACACAGTAAATATACTGTGAAAACATACATAGTTTTCCTCCGAAGAAATGAGGAGTAACAAATCTTTCGTGTGACTGAAAGACGTTGTTTTGTTTGTTTGTCTATGTATACCATACCTCTCTCTGTCCTGCGCACAGTTGTTGCCCACTGTTGTGTTGTTCTGGGTCTCATAGAGTCCACTTCTCCGGTGTGTATCACTCTTGGATGGCATCCTCTCCTCCACCTCTGTTAACCAGCCCTGAAACACACACAGTCGTTATGTACGTGTTGGCTGCAGCTCGTCTTTTTTTCCTACGCGACAACTTGAAATATTTGTCAAGAAATTCTTTTTATCCGTGACCTTTCAAAGGAGGAACACCTCTGCCTTACGCTCCAGTGTGTCTGCCATTTATTTACAGGGTTAAACTAGGCCATTGTTCTGGGACTCCTCTCTGCCTGCACAGAGCTGGAATATGCAGTCAGCCCCTCCAGCTGCATCACATCTTCTCCTAATATGGACGAACGTTAGACTTCTTTGGAACAACCCCAGCTGGAGACGTGTGTTTGAACTCCTCATTATTTACTGTCTTGTATAAACCAAACAAAATTGCTTCGCCAACACTAACACTCACACAGAGATGATAGCTCAGACTGGCACCAAAAACTAACCTCGAATTTCTGAACTTCAGACTGGAGCTTTTCGATGTTCTGGCCTATTTCTAATAGCCGTGGGTCTACGCTGGCCGGGTCTCCCATCTGAGGGTTCTTCACATACACGTCTTTCATCTTAGTTAGAGCATCCCTGGAGAGCAAATTACTAAAGTCAGTACAAGTCTTTGAGTCTTTGTTGCACATTAACAGGGTAAATATAAATATGACTTGTGGTATACAGGAGAAGAAAGCTCTGTAATGCCAAATTTCAAACTTTAAAAAGATACCTCTGGTCCATTTCTTTTTGAATGTCCTTATTCAGTTCATCTTTCTTGCCCTGCAGCTTCTTCCTCCTCTGTTCTGGTGGCAGGTGGCTGAAGTCCTCTGGTCCAGAGCCCTGTGAGTGAAAAAAGGGAACACATAAGATGAAGAAAAGCAACTTTAATAATTCATTGTTCGTTGTGTTGCTGTTTTAACAGGGATCTTTCTTTTCTAGATAAGTGCAGTATCTCCCTTTGCTGTAAACCCTGTGAACCAAGACTCAGGGATAAATGGATAACAGCTCCACAAATGGAGCTCTCGTTATGTTCTAACCACATAATTCACCTGAAGGAGATACTGCAGCCACTCTAACACACACTCACAGAGAGTTGGGATGTTTGTCTGTGTAAAGACTTGAGGCCTTTCACCTATTCAGTCACCGCATGTAATCTAGTGCTCTCTGTGAATGCATCGGAAATGTAATAAAGTATTTTCTACATCCTATTATTGCTCATATAGTGTTTCAGTGTGAGCTGGATAATGGGTTTAAAGCTGTCTGACTGTCCTCTGACAGCACTGCGTGTTCTTAAAATTGAGGTTGTTTTAGTAAGAGGTTTTTTGGCCGACCAAGGGGTCATATTTCCTGATGAGAAGGTTTCTAGTCCATAACACCAGACTGATGAGTCATACTTCTCGGCAGTCTTTCAAACTTTCTCTGGATGTGATGTTTCTGTATCCTGAAGCTTGCTAGCTGGTCTGCATGGAGCCCGAACGAGTTCAAAATTAAATACATAATTATCTATCCATCCATCCATCCATCCATCAGCTATACCTGCATATCCTTGAGGGTAGCTGAGGCTGGAGCCGGGTACACATTGGACAGGTCACCAGTCAGTCACAGGGCTGACGCATAGACAAACAACCCATTCTTGCCTACTCGCCTGCATGTCTTTGGACTGTGGGAGGAAAACCCACGCTGTGAGGAAACGGCGCTAAGCACAGCACCAGCGTGTCACCCCAAATACATAATTAGGAAATAAATAATGATATAAATAAATAAAGTACAATATATAAATAAAAACTCAACTCCTTACTGTAGTTGCTTTTTTGATAAAGCCATTATTTTCACAATTAGACTTTTATTTTGTGTCATTTTTATTTCATAAAGTCACTTTCAACCCTTTCAGCCAATCACATGCCCCAAGCTTCCCAGCAGAGTCCACAAATGCTTCCAAAATTACTCACGTAGCTTCTGTTAGGACTAGAACAAAACAATGTCAAAGTAATTCTCAGTAATCAACCTCTCATTTTACTTACAATGTTGCACATGCTATCTAGCTGGTTTGGTTTGTGGAGTGGATTAATACTCTGCATATAAGAGCCAGTCTATAACGGCTGAACCTGAATAGTGATTTGATTCTAAAAATGTCCTGCAGAGAAAAACACAGAACTTTGTGCAGAACAAAGACCCAGAGTCCTTCTCGGGGATTGAGGTATGCGATTGGCTGAAATGTGAGGGGGTGGGGATTGGTGACAACTGCACCGTCATTAACAGAGACCTTATAAAGTAACAAACTAAAAGTCTACAGCCATAATAGCAGCTATGTGAGGCTGTGCTAAAGCATAGTGGAGTCAAATGCTATCAACATCATGTTCATCATCTTGGTTTAGTGTATTAGCATGCTAACATTTGCTCACTATCACTAAACACAAAGTACAGCTGAAGCTGATATCGTTAGTTTTGCAGGTATTTCATCATAAACCAAAAATTCTAAAGTATTTAATTCAGTCTTATTTATTATTTTAATATTGAACTCTTTGGGGCTCCATAGGGTCTTTATTTTTAATGAAAAAAAAAAAAGACGTTGACAAAGACATTGTTTTACTGCACTGTTACTTTAGTCTGATCAATTAAGAAAAATGTGCATGGACTGAATAGGTGAAGGCCCGATTGGATCTCATTGAGATGGTAACAGCGGCACCACAGGATATGACTGCAGGAGCTAGAGACTTGAGGTCAGGATTCACTGCACATAAAGCCAGGTCAAACACAGTAAACTAGGTTACCATGGCAACCTTACCCTTTCTCCCTGTATCAGCACGCAACACTTACCGGGCATGCAACATAACAAAGATTTGTCAATCATCATGCAAAGACATGCTTCTTTCTGATTGATTTCTGATTTAAGTTACAGTACAGAAGTGTATTAGTGTTTATGTACCCCAAGGCAAATGAAAACACTATCTAAATAAAATGTAAACTAAAACTATAGGCAGACATTAGGTATGTTGATGTTGGTAGTATGATACATTTATGATGAGAGAAGAATGAGTTTAAGAATTTGCTAATTGATTGTTCTGTATTGAATCTTCTATAAAAAAAAAAGACAAAAATCATGAAAAGACCTGATTTTGATGACAACATTTTGGGAAATACACTTATTCGCTTTCTTATAGAGAGACACTCTTATGTCTGTATGCTAATATGAAGCCGGCTAGCGGCCAGCTTAGCTTAGCATAAAGACTGGCAGCACTAGGGAACAACTAGCCTGGCTCTGTAACACTGGGAGCAGTGACTAACTCCTCGCTTCCTGGACACTCAGCTGAAAGCAGCAAATTGAGATGTCGAAAACGTATTAATCATCATTTTACAGTAAGTTTTGCATCTATAGATTGCAACACTTTGCATTGTGGGACTGTCAGCATAAAGTATTTACAACATATATTACATTTTCATACCTTTTGGGGTGAGCCAGACTAGCTTTTTCCCCGTTTTCAGTTTTTATGATAAGCTAAGCTAAGCGTTTGCTGGCTGTAGCTTCATATTCAGCACACATATGAGAGGGTAATCAACCTTCTCATTTAAGTCTCAACTAGAAAAATTGAATGAATAAGTTTAAAACGTTGAAACTAATCCTTGAAAAGCATCTTGAAATTAATATTTGATATTCTATGGTCTGCCATCATACAGTTCTCTTACAATATGCTTTACAGAACAGCACTCTTAATAATGAAATAGGCATGCAGTGTAAGGAATTGAGTGAGCAACTACTATATCCGATCAAATTAGTATTTGTTACAAGGACATACAATTTGTCGAGACACGAAGGACTACCAGACAGACTAAGAGATGACATACATAACATAGAGTAAATCTGATCACCTCAATGAGATTCCGGACGTGGGAATTGAGTGTGATCTGCACCATAGAGACCACAGACACAGTTTGGGAGAGACATGACGAGAAAACAACCACGACATGAACACACAGACAACAAAATGACATACAAATGAGACAACGACATGAGTCTGAGGTCCATCGTTGTGTCACAGCAAAAATTGGAATTAAAAACTTAAAATCGAAAAATTAAAAAAAGAGAGCACAACAAAAACATAACGGCGTACAGAATGTTATTAACAGTGTGTTACTGCGAAGACGTGACATGCGTGCTATGGTCATGCCGCTATGGTCGTGCGGTTATACGGTCATGCTTACCAGCTTGAGAGAAAGCTTCATGGGGGGGGGGAGAGGAGAGAGAAATGGCGAAGAGCAGGAGAGAGAAAGAGAACACAGACAAAAGTCAACATCAAGAGAAAATTATGGCCATTTGTGTCTTTTTCCTTTAAACAAAAATTGTTTACATGTATTTTATGATAACTCTTTACTTTACCAAACTTCACCATTTAAGGAAAAGAGGGTACACCATTTAACGGCTGAAGGATTTGGATTTATATGCTAGTGGTGTCATAAATATGCTCTTTCAGCAACAGTTGCAGCAATAAACCCCCCACCCCCACCCCCCACTCTTTTCTCATGTGGTGAAGTTTAGCATTTCTAATATGATGGATTAATGAAAAATAGGAAATAAGTTGGCAACAAAAGCCAACTTACTGCACAAGCATGAAGTAAAGAATGAGAAAAAAAAATGAAGGAAAGACAGATGAAAACAAATATGAAGAAAGAAGTAGAGGGAGAGTGACTGCAACAAGGACAGATGTACCCTTTACTTCTTGATCCCTCTCTGCTGCCATTACAATGACACGCAATTGACAGCAGAGGGCGCCAAAAGCATGTATGACATTAACAGATCCTGCGTTTGACGTGGAGGCAGATGCTGTACACAGACAAGCTGGAGAGACACTTTCAAAACCAAACTATCAAAACTCATTTGTGATGAAGAAAAATCTACACGTAGCCAGTGCGTACATCTCAAATTAAAGCGGCTGGATGATGGTACAAAACACATAAAAGTAATCATGACCTAAAATGCAATTAGAGTAAAAAGAGCAAAATAAATAGTCATAAAAGTGTTTTAACAGCTTATTTAGACCATTTGGTGAGTGGTCACTGAGAGGATGTTGTTATGTTCTGAATACAAAGAACAGAGTAGAGAGCAGGTTAACGACCATTGGCCGTCAGAGCTGGAGCAGATGACTTGTAATCCTGTTAGAGGCTCACAGGCTGGTGCGCTGAGGAGCTCTACTCACTTTAGTCCACTAATCAAGTCACCCACCTGGAATGGCCTGTTACGGTCTTTGCTATGACCACTTGTGATCCTACCTCTCGAATCACCACCAATACATTATTCTTACGTTTCCTACGTGTGAGGAGCACAAACAAAAGATCTCATTTACACTTATACGCTGGTGTTAAGGGTAAGAGCTAAGGGTAAGGGTATTTAGATGTATAAGTGATAAAAATGCTTCATGAACTGTAGGTTAAGATCTGGTTTTGACCTTTTTCCCGTTTCTAGTGCTACAGATATGGACTATGTTCAACTGAGCCAGGATATAAGAGAAATGTAGACCTTTTTATTTAAGTCGTGGCTAAAATCTGGGCCTGTTAAAGTGAAACTTTGAAACTTCAACTTCAGTAAAAGAAGAAGTAAAAATCACTTTTTCTCCTACTCAACTAAAAGCTATTTATCATATTTCTTACAACTTCAAAATGTGCTTAAATCTAAGACAGATCCACAGGTCTCTTAAGTTGGTTAAGAGAAGATCTTGGATGACTGCAATACAAGAAGAGGTGTGCTACACCTTCCAAGACATGTTCTGGAGTGACTGTACAAACCACTGGTCATAATGAATATAGTGTATGATACAATAGAGTATGATTTTATGGTTTTTACCTATTATTTGCATTTGATAGGATGATTCAACTCCTATTTTGCATGTACAAACAAGAATAAAGCTGGCCTTGATTTAGTTTGCAGTCACTTTCCATGCATCCTTACATCCTTACACTGTGTTTGGTTTTATTCACAGTTTTGCTTATTGTATGATTTCTCTCATGCACCTCATCTACCAGCAGCTTTCTTTCCTGTTCCAGTTTAGTTTTCTTCTCGCTTCCAATTTTGCTAATTTCCATTTATTTCATCTATTTATATCTTGGATTGTTGTTATTAAATTGAACTTACAATCACACACATTCTAAAAAATAGCATATCACTGAATAAAGTACTTTTTATTAAGTAAAATAAAGTATTTTTTTCCTTTAAGAATGAAAAATGGGGTAAATTCTTGTCTCTGAGCATATAAGTGATAAATCATGCGATCATTTGAGCGCTACACTTTGCTTTATGTAGGAGTAAGTTGCATGATAAATGTACTGTATTCTTTACTTTGAGTGCAGTTGAAGCTGGCTCTTGGGAGCTCTTCTTAAGAGTGATTCTGAAAAGTTTGATAAATACATGCCTGGGATCTACCTGAACTCTTTCCAACCACTCAGACAGACATAGATACACAGGTATATTATGGCCCATACAGACAGATAACATTGCTGCAGTATGGCACACCAGCACAAAGAAAGCCCTGGAGGGGTGAATTCTGGGTACTGTCAGCTAAAACCCAGACCCAAAGTGTGACCAACACCTCGCCTAATTTTACATCCAACTGAGAGTGAGATTTAATTAGTGAGGGGGGGGTGATTGCTGGGTGGGATGAATAGCATCCTCACACCCATAATCCCCCACAGCCTCAGGTGCTTGTGACACTTTGTGAATTGACCCCTAGAAGAAGCTCAGTGGGGAAGCCCTTTATAAGCTGCAGGACGACGAGCAACAGGAAACCTCAAGCTGATACATGTGATGAGGGGTGAAGTCATCATCTTCTCCGATCATTTGTTCCGATTCTACACGCGTCAGAGCCATGTGATCAACACTCAGCCAGGCACAGACACTAGCCTCCTTTGTGAGGACATTTTGCCTCATTAATGGTGTCAAACAATCTCCTTGTGGAGGCCGATGTGCCGCACGACAAATTATTATTAATGAGGCTAATGTATGTGCCTCACATGGCTTTTACTAATCACACACATCCGCACACACATTTGATATTCATTCGCACCACGTACCTGCTCACGCTCACAGAAACACACACACGCTGGTACTCACTCCCATCAGACACACACTTACAACATATTGCCTTGCTTCGAAAGCATATGTGGGTCGGCCCAGAGTCCTCTTCATAAGCTCTTTGTGACAAATGAGCGAGCGCGGGGATTGCTGCTGTGGTGGTTGTCAGAGAGAATACAGCTTTGTCAATGAGAACTCAGAAAACAGCACTGACGTCTTAAAGCTCTTATACTGTATACGGTTCTTAATTTGACTCCCAAAACACATACGCTTTCTTTTTTTCAACCCGCACAAAACACATACACGCGCACATACACAGTTACTGTGGATGGATTATGCACCACACAAAGGCTCTCCTGCAGGGGTAGACATTCCCTCCACTGTGCAGAGAGACACAACACCCTACCTCCACTGGCACAACTACTCTGACCCCTAATGTGATACTATATTCTCCTTGCAGGAGACTGGGGAGGAATAAAATAGGGTTTTCTTGAGTCAAATAGGCTTTATATCTTTGCTTTTGCTCTGTTAAAATCTTTAAACAAGGTTTCTGCAGGATTCACCAAGTTAAGTTTAAGACTTTTTTAATACCACATAGTGAAATTAACTGTTTCACGATCATATTGGCAAACATATAAAAGTATAATGTACTGTGTCTAGAATTATTATATATATATATATATATATATATATATTATATTATATCTTTCTGTACTCCACGTCAGGATATAATAATAACTACTACTGATAAATTCATTTAATTATTAGGACCTGGAGTGGCATAAAAGGCTGATTAACCAATTAACAAATTGAAAAAAACTAATTTTTAATAATAAAAATATATAATAATATTTTTTTCCCATTATGAGGCAATTAGGAAGCTCAGGTCTGATGGTTATGACTGGAACGCCACAAAAAAGGACTGAACTGTCTCCTACGAATACAATCCTATAATAAGTGACTTAAAATCCTGACAGCCCCCAGTCGGATACAAAAATGTTTTGTAACATTACTTCTTATGGCAAGCAAGGTAAAAAATTCAAGACTTCAACAAGAGGCAATTAAAAACATTTTAAACCTGTATTCAAAGGTTTTACATGACTTTTCTATACTTGCAGATACCTGATTAAAATGAACCCAGTACTGGTGACAAAATGTTGCTAGTTAGCTCGATTTGACCAGATGGGTGCAGGCCTGTTTGTGTAAGAGCTGAGGAATTGCCCTGACTCTCAACCAGCAGCTGTTCAATGGCATTAGCCCAAACTGTCAGTGTGTCAGTGAGGCAGTAGGTCTGGTGTCCCTAAAAGACCTGTTGTCATTTTACTGGATTAACCATGCACTTTCTGTTTCTTTATTTATAATATATGGTAGATTTATTCCAAAAAGAAGAAATATATTGTAAAAATCTACTGTAAATCAAACACCTATATACATGAAAAACATAAACAGGTTACTGCCATGAGACATGAAAAGGTGTACAAATTAGCTAAATGTATTATCATGAAATATGAAAAGGAGTACAGTTTAAGGCCTGATTGGATCAATTCAAATAAAGTCTTTGATTGTCTAAAGGGCTTTCTACTCTAATACAATTTCTAACCTCTCATGCACCGAAAAACTTCACCCTTGTGCTTTGAAATGCTATAGCAAGGTCAAACGTCAATCTTTTTTTATCTGTGTATAGTCATAGACAATGCATGTGATTTAACGCTGCACATTTTTTTATCACTCTTCTCAAGAGCTGTTTCAGCACTTCCGCTTTCAAAAACGTGCACTTCCTGCTAGATCTGTGTGCTAGAAAAAATACACGCTTCCCTTTTTTTCTGCCGACCTTCAATCATTTCCTCTACAATATGCTTGCACACTACACTGTTGCACCGTATTGTTCTTTCACCTTTTCAGACGTCATGTTAGCACCAATTCATACAAATGTTTTTACTTTGAGTAACTGCTGCCCTTTCAAAATATGAGCATAAACAAAAGCTATATTTGTGGGGTCCGGAAGGAACACGTGAGTTGCCGCCCATTCCTGAGGTCAGGGAGAGCTGGAGGGTAGGTTATGGGAAGGCGTGCTATGACCTGCCCTGCCCCAGCAATTCCATTACAACACACACTGGACTTTTGAACGGTAAATGGTGATGACACCAACCAGGATCCTGGGCTGCTGCTGATAAAGCTAACCTCCAGGAAGCTGTCTAAAATTACTCTACTGGCCTTCTCCCTCCACATGGAGTGACTCAGTCAGCCTGCTGCCATATCCACAATCCATTACTGTGTTCATATTGAGAGGTTTAACCCTCCT